TATTTAGCAAAATAATGTCAGAAACAGAGTAGGTCAAAGCTCCCAAGCTGATCGATAGTGTGGTGGAGGGGGAGAAAGATAGACAGACACACAGACAGAGACAGAGAGAGACAGAGAAAGTGAAGCAGAGAGAAGGAAGAAGAACAGGGGGAAGAGTGAAAGGAACTGAGAAAGTAAATGTGTGAGAATTTTTCAAAAAATCTTTTTAAAATAAATGTTCTCATTCTTTCTAGAAACAATGTCTTTGCTCCTCTCCCTTTCCATCTCACGCACCACCCCAAGCTCTACCTCCCAAACCCCCTTCTGCAAAGAAGAGACTAGTAGCCTCCTGTCCCCTATTAAGAGAACAGATGCTTAGTCAGAGGGATCAAGACCTTAGGAGAAGCCTGGGTGAGCTGAGCTCCCTGGGCCAAAGCCTTACTATCTGCAGGGGGGTTTCCAATCATATTTCGCAGTGCCATCGGGACCCAGAGCCTCTCTTTTCTCTCCAGTCAGTGAGTGTTCCCCTCCACCACACACTCTCCTCGTGTCTTTGTTTCTTTCCAATCCATGCGCCCTCAAAATGCCCCCTCCTTTTAGCCTCCCCCTTTAGCCAGAGGCTATTTGCTAGTTTCGGCTGCCAACTTGGCTGATCAGAGGACAGGCCTGGTGGAAATAAAGGGACCTGGCAGCAGTGTCGACAGAAGGCCTCAACAGGATCACTTCCCGACTCCTACCCACCCCTCCCCGCCCCCAATTTAGGCTTTAGTGGAATACTATATGCTGGGAGGGATGGGGGGGATGGGGGAGGAAGTCACTACGGGATGAGAGGGACCTCTGCCTTACTCTCTGAAACCGAGGTCATAAGGTAGGGGTGAGAATGGGAGAGAGGAGTCTCTTAAAGCCCATCTGGAAACTGCCTAAGAAGAAGCAGCACATAGAGGAAAGCTCTACAGATCTTGTTTGTGCCTTTCGGGGAATCACACAATGAAGGGATCCCACGTGCATATTCTACTTACTCCTAATAGAAATATGCTGTCCTTCTTTCCTTGGAGGGTGTGATGCATTCTAAATTAGGGCAACGTGGAACTCTGGGCTTTCTGCTTGTTGGTACTGGGAGTCAGTGACCCCTGGCCTCCACTTTCCATCTAGCCTCTTAGGAGAGTCTCAAGAACCTTGTGGCTTAGGTCTTCTTCTTCTGAGCCCAGCTCTCTCTCGTTCACTTCCTGGGCTCCAACCTAAGGCTGAAGGTAAATGACAACTCCCTTGCTGTTGTCCCTGACTGTGAACTTACTCACACACTACGACTGCATAACAAGGGAAAGAGCCGCCGGCGTAGTCCTGTTTTCACTCTGGGAGGAAAGAATGCAAGCAGACTACATAGGTGATTCACAGAAAGGAGTCTACAAGACAGCTAGAGGAATAGATAACAAGGGAGGCAGGAGCCAGGCGGGAGAGGCTAAGGAGCCTCAGCTCTCCAGTCAGCCGCAGGCGCTCTCTCAGGGCCTGGAACCAGCTTCTGCCGATTTTCGGAGTTGGCTTCACTTGGTCAATCGAAAGAAAATTGTCTCTTGTCTTTAGTTTATTTCTGCAGGTTGGGCTGCTCGAATAAATTTTCTCCCTGACCTTGATGTCAGTGGCTGGGTAATTTGTCGGTAATTAACTATAACCATTTAGCCGAGCGGTTAGTAACGCAAATTCTATGCAGCAGCCTTTTGACCCATAATGAAGCTCCCTCCTAGAGGCATCAGAGAGACCCAAGAGTTGATAAAGGGGCACAAAGCCCCTCTTCGGTTTGAGTGCTTTTTAAGCAAAGCTTTAGCTGCTCGCTACAGAGAAAGTGCGATAACCTCTCTCTTCTGAGCTGTTGACACGAATTGAGCCCGGTGCTGTCGGAATGAGAACCGCTCATCTTTTTGGAGCCCAGAAGTATGTTTGGGGAACCGGTCTCTAGAATTCTTGTAGTTTGCGCTGCCTCAACTCATACCACTTAACCTGCGGGCTTAGCCTTTGGGGAAGACCAGGAAAAGTGCTTTGAGCCTCCCAGCAGAGCGAGCATGGCTAGCTAGGGGACCTTTGTAGACCTTTAACCGGAACAGTTACTATATTGTCCCGTTCTCTGGTTCTCTGCTCATCCCTCTCAAGGATTCTTCCTACTCTGACGTCAATTTGGCTTGTAAATGAGTCTATGTCCAAATATATTCAGAGTCTATGTGGCTGGCCTTGGAATCAGGAAGACCTGGGTTCAGGTCCCTTCTCTGACGTATACCATCTATATGACCCTGAGCAAGTCACTTAATCTCTCTCATTGCCTTATTGCAACTCTCTGTGACTTAAGTTTCAGAGTAGATGCTGATCTGCATTGGAGCGGGAGGGAGTCTCTCATTGTGATTCAGGCATGCATCGCGACATAATCTGAAGTCATCATCAGGTCTGATTTGTCTAACCCTCAGGCACAGCCACAAGCATGTAGCATCTAAGAGTAGGTTCGAAAGTTGGAGTGAACATAGGAGTCCTTTAGATTTCTGTGGGAACATCACCTTCTGTTCTTTTGCAGCTAAAGTCTTATTTTCTTCTTTTGAGTCAGTGTGCCAGAATGAGGGTAAGCCTTTAGTGATTGTAGCCAAAATTCTCTTCAGGTGTTACTGATCCAAGGCACAAGGCTTTCTTTCCCTTTCTGATATTTCAACTTTAGGGGTTCCTGCAAGGTCACCTCTTCTAGGAAAAAACAGAAACGGAATCTGAAAGACAATGTTTCTGTCCTTTAGAAAAATGACGATACAATCTAATAATTGCAATAAATACTTTACAGGATCATACAGAGCCAAGGCATTTTTATTTTAGATTCCACAGATTTACTAGGACAGTAGGGAAACCTGCAAATATCTGGCCCTACCATTGGGAAATTTTATCAATCCTTTATTCACCTTCCCTGTTCAGCTTCTTCCATCATTAAGCAATAAGACATCAAATGTTCTTTGGAATTTCTGTGTACTAAAAACAAACAAACAAAAAAACCCCTAACATTTTAGCATTTAGCATTTAACATGTTGCTTTTTCAGGGTATGTCTGCTGAAGGACAGTCAAATCTCAGCCACTGCTTGAGCATTAAATAGCCAAAAGGTTTTTATTCAGCTCCTGACTGTGGGGTTTAGCCTTTTCTTTCTTTCCTTCTTTAAGTTATTATATGTCTTTTTATAGCTCCTTCTGTTGATATACACATTCATTTTTTAGACTGTCTCCTTTCTTTCTTGCTGACATTGTTTCCAATGCTTTGGTCAAGTGATTCTCTAGCTGGCTTGATGCTAAATCTTGGAAGAATTGAAAGAATTTCAGTTCTGAAACATATGCATACATTTTATGTACTTTTCATTATTAAGATAGATATAAAGCCAAATACTATTAACCTTACCCCTGGCTTCTGTGAACTGGCATTATTGGCCTATAATACAGCTTTTTCATTAAGATTTCCAGTGAATAATGTATCAGAATGTAGTTTATAGCTTTAGTATATTTGCAGACTATTCCAAGGATACAAGTAAGGTGTATTTTTCAGGCAAGTGACAATGGGGGCATTGTATAAAGAGGAATCCTCCATTCTTAGTTTTCTTAAGGTTAAAATCAGAAGGTATCTATCATTAATAATTCATTATACTTCTTCAAATAGCAGATCTGCATACCCTAAGGAGAAGGGAAACCTTGTGGGAGGGAGGACAACTCAGGCAGACTTCTGTACTAGCCCAGACTCTGTCCTCCCATGGATATAGTCAAATGGTTGAGTACATGTGTTCACATTGCAATAAAGATCATAGAGTTGTCTGCAGGAGCGGTAAAACAAATACAAATATTATTAGGATTGAGAGGTAATGAGTTTCTCATCACTGGAGCATTTCAAATGAGCATCTGGATGACCAATCAATGAATAAACAAACATTTCTTAAGTGCTTAAGTGCTATAGTCCAGGCACTATGCTAGTTTTTGTCCAGGACCGAGTAGATGGAGTTATATTCGGGTAGGAGAATTAGATGAACCCTGAGGTCCGTTTCTGTTCTTCAATTCGAAGATGCTGATCTGGATGGATGTCTTAAGTGCAGAAATTAACCAGTCTGGGCCTTTGCTAACCTTAAAGCATTTGATTTCCCCCATTCCCCTTCCGGCTTCCCACCAAAGCCTCTAGAAATTAGAACTGGGCTGCCAGACACAGAACCTCTCTGCTCACGTGGAGTTTCTAGAGTAGAGAAGTCTCTTTTTGGCTTTGAGCTCTAATGTGCTTCAGAATTGCTTCAGAATTTAATTCCTTAAGGGAAAACATTCCGGTTTTAGGGGGATCTTCAGGGACATGGGAAGGCGGAGAAGGTAAGTTATTTGCTTGTGAAAGGAGATGGTGACCTGGATTGAGGTGGGAGGTATTTCTGAGGTGTGTACGGCGAGGGCGGGGGAGAATGGCACATTTCCATGTTTAAATCACCTATTTCCGCCACTGCCTGCCGGAAGACCTGTCTTTCTTGTGTCAGGGATTCCCAAGGCTTTGCTGCGGGATGGGGATTAACCCTGTGCCAGTAGTGAATGAGAGCTGTCGGCGGTGGCCCTCCGGTGAATGCATCCAGAGTTAAGGGTGCAGCCTTTTCCCTCCCTGTTTCTCCTCCTCCTGCTCATCTTTTCCCTTCTCCTCCTCCCCCCCCCCCACCCCCCATCTCCTGCCTTAGCGAGGTCCCCTCACCGCTCTGGCCGGCTCGTACACAAAGCAGCGGATGGAGGAGAAAGGTCTTGTAGCTTCGCAGGCATGCATTGAGCAGTGAGATCACTCCTGTTATAAATATCTCTGGGCCACGGTTGAGATTTGTTCGGGTTGTCCTCAGTCTCTCTCTCTCTCTCTCTCTCTCTCTCTCTCTCTCTCTCTCTCTCTCTCTCCCTCTCTCCCTCCCTCTCTCTCTCTCTCTCTCTCTCTCTCTCTCTCTCTCTCTCTCTCTCTCTCTCCTCTCCCCTGTCTCTCCTCTCTTTTCTCCCCCCCTCTCTTTTTCTCCACCTCCCCTCCCCTCTGAGGATATGTCCACCGAGTGCAGAGAGGGGGGCAGGATAGGCACGCAGCCGCCGCCACCGCAGTCGCACCGGGGCCAAGGATCCCGGGAAGACCCTCGCAAGATGCTCTTAGGACTCCTGGGTCTGGAAGAATGAGCTTGTCCTTCCTCCTCCTCCTCCTCCTCTTCCTCGGCCACCTGATTCGCAGCTCCCGGGCTGAAGAGAAGCAACTCCTTGCCAAAGCGCAACTAGGACCCACAGCCAGTCATCGGAATCGAGGGGGCAGCGGTAGCAGGGGCAGAAACGGCACTTCTTCCTTGGCTTCTTCCTCATCTGCCTCCTCTGCCTCCTCCTCTTCTGCCCTGGGAATGAAAGGCCGCCACTCGGAACGGAGCAGCTTTCAGCGGAGCGCATCGGGGCGCCGGACTGGCAGCCTCTACTGCAGAGTTGGTATCGGTTTCCATCTGCAGATCCATCCGGATGGCAAAGTCAACGGCTCCCACGAAGCCAATATGCTAAGTAAGTTGTTTGCTCCCCTAGAAAACCGGCCCCGCAGCGCCAGGTGTCGGACGAACTGGGAGAAAACTGGAGATTTCAGGGAAATAAAAACATCCTTTCCCGACCCTTGGACACTGGCACCCGAACCAGTGCTGCTTATAATCACACGAGTTGGGTGGGGACCCATCTTTGCTAAACACACACTGCACACACACACATACACACGCACACGCTATGTGGGTATTTATATTCATGTCTAGATACCTACAGTCCAGGTCTTTGGGTAGCTCAGCTAAGACACCACTTTGGCCTCTTCCCCCATCCTCTATATGTAAACACCAGTAATGGTCATAGGATGGCAATCAGAACCACAAAAAAAAAGAAAAAAAGACTTGCTTCCCTCCTCTCCTCCAATGCCTTCTTTCTCCTTCCTAGCTATCTCCTCTCCTCGATGAATTTCTCTTTAGTTCAGATTTATTGCATGGCTGGAATTCTCATTAAGAATTAAAGCACATCCTTGCCCCCTCGGCTCCAGCCCCTTCATCGCAAAATACGACACTGAGAGGAACAGCCAACTATCTCCACAAAAATCCTCTAAGGACATCTGACACCCGCTCACAGCCCCAGTCTCCACCACATGCTGTATTTGCGAAATATCCCGAAAATGGTGATTCTGCCAACAGGCACGTTTAACAGGGCGAGTTGATTGACATCCGAATGAAAATCAACTGGGCTATTTGCAGTTCCTTGTAATGATGTTGTCCGAAAGGTCTTTAGTATTCCTGGAGGTAGATTAGAGGGCAGTTATTTATTTATGAAGAAACTGAGAGCAGGCAGGGCTGGAATATAAGTGCTAAAATGTAAGGGCTTCAGCATTCACGGCTCTTTTTCTGAAAAGGAACCCTGTGTTAGAAATGAATTTGCCAAGTTTGCAACTCCCTCGCATCAGCCTTTTAAATGAAATTTACTATGCACCCCTAAATGTACTTTCCTTCTTCTACCTCCTTTATCCTTCAAATACTTTTAACATCTCTCTTGGTAAATAATGGCAGCATTTATGCAAATGAACTGTGTTCTGCTTTTCTTCTCTGCCATGTGCCAACTGGGTTTATGGGTTGTTTGGGTCTGGTGGGTTGTATTCAAGCACCCTGGAAAATCAACCACTGAATTAGCCCTAGAAAAAAAATTTTTTTTGTACCTCAGTGGGACATAAAATTTAAAAATTCCACCAGGAGAATTTTAAGTAAGACTGTGAATGGATACATAGGAAGGGAAAGAGAGAGAGAGAGAGAGAGAGAGAGAGAGAGAGAGAGAGAGAGAGAGAGAGAGAGAGCACAAACAAATTAAAGTATCATGTTTCTCTGACTTCTCAGCTCTATATACCCTCTCCTTCTTCAGAGTTTCTCTCCCAAACTTATAACTAACACAAACTCTAAAGCTACATGTAGATTTGGGTGCCTCCAGGTCAACTTGATTATTTTGCAGTCTGGCTAGTTCCAGGAACTTAAGCCTCTGAGCCTCAGTTTCCCCATATGTAAAAGGTGTGATTTTGACTATATGTGATCTATAAGGTTCCATATAGCTCTGAATCTATGATTCTAGAATCCTTCTGCTCCATGGTCATAGGTGTAGGCAATGTTTGAGAAGGCAAACTAAGGTAGTGCAGCAAGGCCAGCTCTAGTCCAGACTGCTTCCAGAAGCCTAGAGGTTGAAGATAGTGGAAAAGCAGAGACAAGAACTGGATGCCACAAGACTAGGGGAGAGGCACATTGGTGTATGTATGTGCATTGGGCAGGAGGTGTTCTAGAATGCTTCCTTCATGAGGTTGAGAAAAACCTGTCTTAACAGTGTCTGGTTGTCTTAACAGTGTCTCAAGTCCCTAGCAGAATGAACCATCAATTTCTGTGCATCAGGTCCTGGATCCCATACTCCTCTCAAGGCTATTCAGTGCTAGTGTGGAGCTGAGCAGTCAATGTTCCATGTTCTGGACTCCCAAGCCTACCTCTTATAGCTTAGCTGGGTGGCAGAGTTAGTGTAACTGGCTAAAATAAGTCTAGGGCTCTCTTCAACTTCTAGAGAAAAGATAAAAGACTGGATTTTGACCTCCTGAGAATGGACATGCATCCCCTACCAACATAAGAACTCTCCCGTCCTCCAAGATCTGGGGAATGCATGGCTATATATGTGTGTATATATATATATATATATATATATATATATATGTAGGGTCCCCTGTCAATGCCCTCTCATTCAGTCATGTTTCTCCTGCTGTTATACCTGCTGAGGTGAAGGGATCCCGAGCTGGGATTTGTAGAAAAGTAATTTTCCATTCTATCACACTCTACTCCACTTTAATCGTTAGTACCAGGAATGCTTTGGGCCCCTCCTTCAGGATTCACAGTTGTCAGCCTCAGGCCTTTCCCACCTCACACAATCTCCTTCACTCCTCCAAAGGAATCACTTTGCACACCACCCTAGACAGTATGTCAAAACCCCCACCCCTACTTCCTTTCCTAAGCCTTTTTTTAGATCAACCCTGGCTGTAACAACATTGGGGTATTGCCCCAAATTGGATTATTTGTGGACCCTGAGTAAAGTCCCTCTGTCTTTCTCCCTTTGTTTATTTTTTATGTAAGTTTTTGTGCATAAGTACTTCTAATTATGGAAAACAATTCTTGTAGGAATTCTGGTTCCCATCTTCTATTCTGAAAGTCAGTTATAAAAGAACAAGCGATGTCTTGCTGTATCTGAGCAGGTCTAAGCAGAACAGGGGAGAAGTATATAGGTTGTGTGTTTCAGTGGGAGGAAGGGGATTGACTTCTGATCAGGAAACTCTAATTTCTAGATTCCCCTCTTTATAAAGAATTGCTGAGAAGAAAGATTATTCAAGACAGAAAGAAGGAAAAATGTATCTAAGACTAACAGTGAACAATCAGGGCAAATTCATTTAAGAAAATAATTTATTGACCACAATTTGTTTGTTTGATTTGATCCAAGAACTTGACAGTGAGGAAACTGACACTTGCTCTTCAATTTATAGTCTCAGAGAGTGGCCTCGGGCACTCAGAGGCATACTTCACCTTGATTTGCTTCCTGTTGACTAGTGCACACAGTTTCAAACAGCTTGGAATTATAATTCTATGAGATTAAGGAAATAAGGATAGCATTCATTTCATAACATATTGAGATTTACAAGATGTCTTCATATATCTTTTTGATCCTCACAACAACCCTGTAAACTAGGTAGAGAAGGGTTTACTTCTATTTTACAATAAAGGAAACTGAGGCTTATGAACTTTCTCAAGATCACATGCCTCTACCTTCAGACCCAAATCTTCTGACTCTTCACATCCTTCCACTATACTACCTTGCCTCTCTCTGGCTACCCTCCTTTATGTCTTTATAGAAAAAGGTTATTTTCTTAAAGTGCTAACCAAATGAGAGTTTTGATTTCCTTAGTTCTTTCATACTTCATCACAGTGGTGGTCTTCAGAATTCATAGATCTTTTGTCTTTCCTTTTTTTTTGTGCCAGTGTGAAGAGCTGGGATTTAAGTGGTCTATGGAACGCTTGGGGAACAATCTCTCTCTAGCATAGATGGACAACTATTTAGCAATTTGGTTTTAAAGAGTTGCCTGAGGCCTGGAGGAATTAAATGATTCACAATCAGCGTATGTCAGAGGCAGGATTTGAACAGAGACCTTCTTGAAATCTGAAGCCTGATTCACTATGAACCACAGCCTCAAATGTCTTTCCTTAGCCACAAAATGAATATCTGTGTATCATTCAGGGTAAATTAGACTCCCTTCTGGAGTTAACACTTAACTGCAATTTCCTCTCGTTGAGCATTGTGAAGTTTAGGCTTTTTAACAGTAATGAATTTTAATGACTAGGTTTCTAATACTGCTCCATAGCATGGAGAGACCACATGACTGGAACCAGGAAGACTTAAACCAGGTCTCACCACTAACACACACTGCCTGTGTGACCCTCGGTAAATCATTTAACCTCTCAGTGTTGATCTAGGCAAATCTCTCAAACTGTAAGTTGAAGAGAATTTGCTGACCTGCATTAGTAGAAGGTATTTCCTGATCAAGGGGACCTCTATGCCAATTAAATCGCAAGTCCAGACCCTATCCTTAGCACGTATATTTAATGTTGTATTGATGTCTTTTGTTTTTATATCACAGTCATTTCTTTATAGACCACTTCCCCTGTCCCTGCAACTGAACCCTCCTTTGTAGCAAAGAAATCCCTCCACCACCACCACCACCACCACCTCCTAAAAAATCAATATAGAGATTGAATGCATGCAAACACATGAAGTATTTGGTTCCCAGATTCCTTGACTCTGCTGAGAGCAGAGTGGAGGCCGGAGCCTCATTTCCAAGTTCTGGCTCCACCATTTACTTGCTGTATGATGGGCAAAATACTTATGCTTCTCCCAGTCTTCATTTCCTTATTTGTAAAAATTTCATAAAAATACTTTAATACTCCCACCATGCAAGGTGGTAAATGTCAAATATGATATGTGCTATAAAGCATTGTGTAAATGTAAATTAGTCTTTTCATATTATTGTTTACTTTTTTATGTTCAGCACTATGCTGGGTACTGTGAAGGATGGCAAGGAAGTTTAAACCCTGATTCTTGCCTCTAAGCAGCTTTGATAGCACAGCCCCATACCCATTGGTGCCTTATTTCCTTCCTCCTTCAGATATTTAGAAATCTTTAGGTTAGTTATGTCCCATCACTTAGGAGCTTTAGATTCAGAATAGGAAGGGCTGGTAGAAGTAGTCCAATCACCTTGTTTTACAGATGAAGTGAAATGACTAGGTCAAGGTACCATAGGTAGTAAATGTGTGAGCCAAGATTTATACTTATTTCCTCTAACTCCATAACCGGTTATTTCTACAGTACCACATTATGACCACGTTGTAGGCTTCATGCATCCGAAGTAACAATCTGCAATATGGGGAAAGTGATTGAACAAAGGAGTATGTGTAAGAGACCAGTGATAGTAG